TGTATCACTGAAATTGTTATCTTGTTTTAAATCAGACACAATCAATCTGAGTGGGTGAGTTGAACACAATGTCCCTTATATCAGTGTCAGCTAAATCTGTGAGGAAACCTAACATGCATTCCTAGATGTGGATCAGTTTGGTGAAACTCATGAAAACTGTATGGTGCACACAGACTAAGGATCATTATTAAAGTAAATCAGGGATCTGAAACCATGACTAAGAGAGGCTACTTTGCAGAACAAGTTGCACAATGGTGGATCCAGCATTTTTAAAAGGGAGAAGTCCACCATGAACCAAGTTTTGAAAAGAAATATCATCATAATGTTTATAACAAGTATTATTCTCACCTGTGAATTCTTCAACTGTACTGAGGCAAGTGCTGTGATGGGATCGGGCCTCAGATGGAGCATAGTATTGATCAAACCAGTGAAGGTAGGACTTCCACTGAACACTGACCCTAGGTCAAGTGTCACACCATTTACTGCCATCTTCTGGAAGAGGTCATTGAGGAAGTTGAGGACAAGTGAAGCCCCATTCATGTATCCCTCCACAGCCTGGAACTCAGAACTGTTCCCAAACACTTGAGCCATAGCATTGTAGACGGTGACTAGGTTCCACAGGTTGGTCTCGTTGTAAGATGTCTGGAGAATAGCAAGGCTAGCACTCACATTGAAGGCTGGTGGGTTCTGAATCAGATTGTTGATGTTTTGGGCAAGCACTTGAGACTGTGATAAAATGAGCTTCCAGTCAGGAATAACTGACATGTTGCTCAATCCTGCAATGACCCTCTCAAGGTCAAGATTTCTGATAAGGTTAGCAACCATGATGGATGTGTTTTGGCTGCAGATGGCTTGTGTCAAAGCAGAGAAGTTAAATGTCGCTGGAAGAAGTAGGATATCTCTCCAAACAACTGGTGAGGTACACACATTACTAGATGTGGGATCGAGTAGAGCCCGAGTGAAAAGCTCGGTATCTTTCACTGGTGCTGTCAACACTGTCTCCAGCATGTCGCCCCTCAATCCTATGGCTGTTATCACATCCCTTAGGATGGGGACCTGATCAAACATGGATGTGACAGTCAGACTCTTGTTCTGGAGACCGACTATGTTCTCATTGAGCAGTCTCATCACAGCCTCCATCACTATCCCATACTGACGGAATGGTTCTTGCATCATCAGCGGACCCAACCTGGTCAGTAGGCTCTCAATCCTGAGAAAATAATGATTAGTGTCATACTTTAGTTACCTAGGTAATAACCATCCATGACTCTTAAATGACTGCACTGTTAAATAATATTCACACACTCACACAGACTTCTATTATAAAATACTTCCTCAGTGTTATCATAATGAATGAAATAATAGACTTTTTGCTTAGTAAGCAATATTACATTTCAGTCAAAGTAGCAGAGTTTGGTTCTGGATTGACTAGCAGCTAGAATGATCACTTGTCTGCCTGAAGATAATTGTTCACAAGCTCAGGAAGGCCATAGTATAAATGACAGCATGTTGGTTTACACTACAGTCAATTATATTCACGTAAAAGCACCATGACCTTGAAATAATCCAATCTGGACCAGGCAAACTAGTAGTTGCTAAAGCATGTGCAGTGGTCAGTGCCGTGGTTTGTGCTGCGACACATCATGACTGCCAGATCCTCCTTTCAGTGAAGTCATGTCGGCAGTATTTCGATTGTATTTTCGGCCAACATGTTTATGTGTTAGTAATCATATTTCACCTCTGTCATGGCAAACAACAAAATGTATGATCTGTACAATCACAAGTTAAGTTGGTCTTAGTTGAATTTTCTTTGACAAAACTGTCCCACTTACTCAGCATTGATAGCAGCAGGATCTTGTCTAGCCATGGCATATTGCTCCAGCATGTTCAGCCAGTAGGATCCATTCTCCCAGTTGGCCGGCAAGACGACCGTGGGAGGCATGCGAACCCACCGGGTCACCAGGTCGTACACACGCTGGAACTTAGCCCCCACTCCCAGCCAGTCTACTTGTTCTAATCCATTTGCCTACATAAACATAAAAGTCATCAACACTTGCGTGAACAGAGTCAAGTACATACCTGAAGCTTCAGTACCTCAATTCAGCTAGATTAGCTTCGACAAAACGCCGAAGTAACTACAAATTAAGTATTTCCATCAGTGTTTGAAATAATTCTAAAACCAACCAGTCAGGCATGTGACCCATAGATATTGCCTGCCTATTTCAAAGTTACAGACATTCAGACATTATATATTGAAAATTGCGAAAAATAAGAGACAAATTGCATCTTGATTAAGTTGAAATAATACAAACAATTACTTGAGAATCAATGAGAAGTTATGATAAAACTGAATACATAAGTTGTCTTAAAGTCATCTGCCAGAAAGTTGGGCAGGTGGAGGAAAATTTCATGAAGCCCCGACAGAAAAGTTACAGTGGGCAGGCCATTATTTTGGACACTGTTTCCATTTCCAGGTTTCCACATATTCCAAACATCCTGTTTCCTCATATTCCAGCCTCCCCACCCCACCTCACCCAACTTCCATACATTGTTTATATCATGAAAATGTTTCTATTATTTAATGTTATTAAAAATAAAAAAACAAAAATATCTAATCATTGGTGAGTGAGTGAGTATAGTTTTACACCGCTTTTAGCAATATTTCAGCAATATCACCGCGGGAGACACCAGAAATGTGATTCACACATTGTGTCCATGTCGGGATCTAATCATTGGTATCTAATCCAATTACCAAGAGAGAAAATCAATATTTTCAGACTTTTTGATATTTAAAAGGGCTTTAGGGAGGTAATGTTCTCACTGGTAGATGCCACAGATTATGACCTATCTATAAGACCATAAAACAAGATCGCTACCAAACTGGCAGTCAAAAAAAACGTTGGACCAGAGGATTTCTTGAACCTCATGGTACAGAGAGTTGAATGAGCGCAGAAACTTTAGCCCTTTACTGTAAGATTAACACACCACTCTCTGTATTCTTGGTATATCAAAGGCAGCGTAGACCTCGGGTTCCAGTTGTGTGATATTGATCGCACAAAAGCCGCTCTGAAGCTTGGACACATCAAAGGTGACACCCGGGGGTACTACCAGGTACTGGGAGATGTTGGCGCCGGGCCAGCACAGGGTCATGAAGACCTCGGTCACATTTGTCATTGCAAACAAAGGCGTCATCTGGAATGTGTGAAGTGAAGTAATATAAATTCATGCTGTCAGGGAAACATGAGCTCATGACAGACACCTGTCTGCAACTCATGACATGCATACTTAGTCTTCTAGTCACTTCAATTCAGAGTACTCAACGGAGGCAAAGAACAGAGGCAGATACAGAAAACAAATGTAAAATATATGCAAATTCAAATCCAAAGTGACAAGACTCTGGTCATTCATTACAAAGGGTGGTTGACTGGTGGGATTGGTATCAGGTCTGTACAGGGATCAAGAAATGTTTTTTGGACAATCGGCATTTGCATTTTGGCACACAAAAATCATATCTGAGGTGTTGGATGGTCATGCATGAACAAAAAGGATTTGTTTCGAATAATCTTCTTTAACATTCTACGATGGACACAGGCAGTACACGACCGATCTCCATGAGCTTAACAATATTTGGGAACTGATTGGGCAATTTGTTGGGCTGGCAACAAGTTCTTTCACAATTTCGTCTTCGATTTGCTCTGATATGAGTTCTATAAACTCAGATACGGCAGTGTCTTCTCTGCAGAGCTTTGAAGTTATCCCTGCTCCATTTACCTCGGCCAAGACATTCAAGGACTCATAGTTCTTGTCAATGGCAATGCACTCCTCTGAAATATAGTACACGTTCCATAGAAGCGTGCACATAGCGTCGTCAGCTTGTCATTCAAAGAAAATTTGTAAAGGTTCTTCATTGAAATTGGTATCTGATGTGGTGGCCACTGTATGCTCTTTTCCATCAGCATGGTCTGACAGGGCGGTTTTCCAGAAGATATTTTGCTTCCCATATCATGTTAGGGAACATTGTTTTCCCACCCACCTCTATAATAAATTACTAGTCCTCAAGTAACATTATTCTGGGTCCCATTCCATGACCATCATAAATCTACGTCCATGTATCAGAGCCATGTGGACCTATTCTGACCCAGACTCCCCCAGGGTACAAGACAGGTATCATTGAACAGGTCATGGAGCTCACCTTCTGAGAGTTGAGAGACTCCATCAGCACCACCAACACTCCAGGTTCCTGCAGCAAGTCTATCATGGCCTGAAGCTGAGGGGATTGGGGGAAGATATCTCGGGGGGCAAATGAGGTTGCTGAAAAGGAGATCAAGATAAGATAAGGCTCCATTGCAAATTATAAGTAAGATCAATTTGAAGGAATGACCCTCACTGGACTGAAACGTGTTCAACAATTGTTCAGAAAAACTTTAATGTTTTGTCTACCAAAATACCAATATATTGTGAAGGAAAAATTAGTTTGTCAGAGAACAATTACTAGGTGCATGATTAAGTATAACTTCCAAACAATCCATAGGTATCAAATCTCCAGTAACGGCACTGTACTGTGCTCCAATGACATGCACGTTTTGTCAAGCAAACCATCTTTCACAGAACCTACCATTCTCCAGGATAAGCACTCGATCTAAGATGGTCTCCAAGACAATCATTACAATTTCCATCGGTTTCAGCTGACTACGAAGACCAGGGACACTGGAGACTATGTTTTGTGCAAGAAGAAACATAGACTTTGGAGACCTGTAGTAATATATGATGCAAAGGGTAACTTATCTTCATAAAGAAATGAAAGCATTAACATGTTTTTGAATGTAACACCTTATTACTGATTAAACACATCCATTCAGAGTGAATGCTGTTTTATGCTCAAGTCAGCATTCTTCCAGCTGTAATAGAATTGTCTGGAAAACACTGAATCTGGCAGTCAATGCATGGCTTGTCTTCCCCAGCAGGGCAAGGCGATGCAGCCTTCACATGGATAGGTATGACATTCTTTCTAGCAAATATTAACTAAATTTAACACTGATTATGTTCCATCATGTCTGTGTTTTTAATTGTTAAACACCACACTCAGCAATATTAACTTCACCTTACAGCAGGCTGTAATAATCGAATCTGGACCAGACAAACCAGTGGTTGATACTACGAGCATACAATGACACATAATCAACCAAGTCACCAAGACTAAAATTCAAAGCCCAAATTTGCCTCACACGACAAGCATGGGTTACTTGGGAACTGGAATGCCACAGGGGAGTGGGGTCAAAAAACAAATGATTTCAAACGTACAGAATTGTGTGGAAGTCCATATGGGCCACATCATATTTCAAGATAACGAGTTGAAATGTCAAGTTATCAAGTTGAAATTCAAGAAATAATAAAGATATATCCGAAATGGACTTTCATAGAATTCTTTTATACCCAGCTGAAAAACTGTATAAATCTCTTTCTGTTGAAGGAGTGTATGAAAGAGAAAGTCGTTGGCATCAAAGGCATGCTGGGAATCATGTAACACTGGAATTATTCTCTTTAAGAATCTGTTCTTACATAAGGGTAGTAACTGACTGGTTCAGGTATCCCCCCATCCTCTCAATCACAGCCGTCCATGTGGCCGCATCAAACAACCGAGGCAGGCCCTGCATGATTCCATACGTTGTGTTTCCATTGGTCAGTGTCTCAATAAGTTTCATCATCGTTAGAGGCAAGGCAGTCACATTCACTGGTTCAGTCATATTGCCAGAAATCTGTAACACATGAGCACAATGGCTGTATAGGCACCGGATGCTGGGAGCACCTGAATCATAGACTTGTGTGAACACTGCAATATTAACACTGACTGAGAGTTGTTTCACTCTGCACTGCACAATATTCCAATTTGTAATTACCGTATTCGACGTAATAAGCGCTCCACTCTAATCAGCACCCATGGTGATATTTGCTTATATATTAGCTAGTAAACAATCCCAATTACCACCTCTTCCGATTGATCAATGTACACAAGATTTATAATACGCACAGACTTTTCTTTTGTATCATTTCAGGTACATAAACCTAGAAATTTACGATCTTTCAACACGGTTTTTTTTTTACCAAAGTTTTATTCTAATAAGAGCCCCCTATTTCTAATTTTGAGAGCAACCTGGGCGCTTATTACGTCGAATACGGTAATCGAGTGTCGGACTGGCGATTACATGGTTGATGGTGTCAGCAACAATTAATGGTAGGATGACAAACAGTCATTAAGTTTACACACTGTAACTGAACAAACGACAGTATCAGACTTCTGGGACTACAAACTAGAAATTGTGATTAAGGTTGAGCTCAGCTTCTGGTCAAATAATACAAATTAGTACTAAATCAATGCTGCCAGCATTGAGGCATTATAGAAGCTTTAGAGGGTCTATTTCTTAAGAGACTAACCCTCTTTAGTTGTGCCATTTATAACTTCCCCTTGACAAGTTTTCACAAATTCATGTGACCCGTTTAATTCCAAGAATATTTATGACTATGGTAACATTAGGACTATGTAAGTATAGAAGTTGCAACAATAGTATGAGTTACAGCAGTGTTAGTGCTAAGATCATGTGGAACCTACCAAAGCAGTGAGTCTATCACTCCCAGAATAACGCTGGGACTCCTCCATGAGAGCTGTGATGTTGATGGTACAGATGGTCCTTAAGAACGGCGCCATGCTGAACTGCAGTGTTGGGGGAATAGAGAATAGATTGGCAGGGTCTGTTCCACAGAACGTCTCAAATGACTGCATGGCTGCGCTCCACTGAGCAGTCTGAAACAAACACAGGTCCTCAGTCAGGCAGTTTATTCCTATTCCCCCGGGGTTCATTTTGCATGTTGATTATTTGATTGTTGAAATCGAAGATACCTAATTTGAAAAAAAATAGTTGGATCTTTTGTAATTTATGGTGAGGCTCCAATAACCGTGCCCTCTTTGACAGACAGGGTGGTAGCTCGGGAAGTCTTGCTGTAAGTGTGACCTTAACTGACCTTCTCTGATGCAACCAGGTTGGTGTACAGTGTGACCTCCAGGACAAAGGGGATGTCATTCATCAGCTGCACAATCTTCAGCATGTTCGGGAAGTCTTGCAATGACTCATTCAGAGGTTCTGGCAATACACCATATGAAAATAAGACACTTATCAACTGGCGTGTCAGCTTAATGCGGAGGAAAGCCCGAAGTGATGCAGGTCTCAGACGTTTACCACTTCAGTGGGTATGGGTATGGTGCTGACAAACCTAGAAACATAATCGGGGCGAACCGGGATTCGAACATTCCACATTCCACATTCCACAGACATTGTGACCATCATGTCCCCCCTTCAGCTGCTTCTCACAAATGATCAATTCCAGACAGATAGAAAGAACTCAGCATTCATAACAAATGGCATTTATGATAGGCAATTGTTGCAATATATATATGACAATCAAACACATAGTACCAAAGTTCCTCTGTATCTGGCTGAGCATGATTTCCCCCATGACCTCCATGTACTTCATTGCTGTTCTGGCCTCTGGAATATCACCAAGGCTAGTGAGCATCATCCGCAACTGCATCTCCATCGCAACTCTGAAATGAGTAATAATACATCTCACACACAGACAGAATTTGAGTGATAATATATCTCTCACACAGCCAAACCACGAGTTATAATAAATCTCTCACACAGGGCTAGAGCTTGAGTTATAATAAATCTCTCACACAGGGCTAGAGCTTGAGTTATAATAAATCTCTCACACAGGGCTAGAGCTTGAGTTATAATAAATCTCTCACACAGGGCTAGAGTTTGAGTGATAATAAATCTCTCACACAGGGCTAGAGTTTGAGTAATAATATAAATCTCTCACACAGGGCTAGAGCTTGAGTTATAATAAATCTCTCACACAGGGCTAGAGTTTGAGTGATAATAAATCTCTCACACAGGGCTAGAGTTTGAGTAATAATATATATCTCTCACACAGGGCTAGAGTTTGAGTGATAATATATCTCTCACACAGCCAAACTTTGAGTAATAATAAATCTCTCACACAGCCAGAATTTGAGTGATAATATATCTCTCACGTGGGTGTACAAGTATCACTTGTCCCCAACTTGATTCAAATAAAACTGTATTCTGCAACTGGCCCCCTGTCCCGCAGGCTGGCTAAGGCACTGGTACTATACATAGAGATAAAAACGCCCGGTAGAAATTTGGGCATTGCAGCATACTAACCCTGGGTCCTGGTACTTGCTGAATATAACATTCATGTCCTGCAGGAAAGTCTCCCCAAGTTCAGTATAGATGGTAGCATTCATCCAGTTGTTGTTTGTGAAGAATACAATATTGGGCGGGTTCATGATAGTTCTGTTGATCAGATCCATGAATGTTAGTTGGTCGGAGATGAGAGTGGAGGCGTTAACCCGAAGCTGTTCGACTGGGATTGTGTTCAGTGATATTCCCGTTATCTGAAGCAAATGACATTTTAAGACTTCGGTAGCGATTTGCCGTTACGGAGGTATGAATGTAAAGCTGGTGTTGCGCACTAACTTCACACACTGCATACTTCGTCATTAACAGAAACAAATGTAGATGAAACAACATTAGGGTCATGCGCTATAAACGCATCGCCAGCATTGCCCACTCTGTTATCAGCCAATCAGGAAGTAGTAGTCCGCTAATGGGTGTGGCCCATTGTCTTACGTTTATTACAACATAAATGCAGAACGATTTACTTGGCTGGCCAATCAAATACCTAGGAATCACCAGCAGTCTTTTCTTGATGAATAAAGGGACAGAAATGAGGTGAATGTGTGGCTTCTTGTATCAGTCCGCACTTATACTGGTTTTATAGTCCTATTCTACTGAGATGCCATGCCAAAGTGTCATATGGATACCCCACTCAGATACAGTATACTGACTCCGAACCAATTAGTCCTTGTATCATGCCCTTGTTGTTGAACGCCAGGCAGGGTAACAACACGTATCATTAGTAGCAGACGGATCATGACCGATATTGTGCGTAATTAGTGAGTGAGAGGGTGAGTATGGTTTTACGCCGCAGTAATATCACAGCGGGGGACAGCAAAAATGGACTACCCCGCCGCCCCTGTGAGTAATGATGTCGACAGGGTTAGAAGTTATGGTAGTAGTGCCAGTGATAAGGGATCTTTTTGTCTTGTTTCAATTCTGTGTTAGCAGCATAATAATCATTACTTTCTGAAATGACTATGCTTGAGGAGGTGATCCCCTTCAAATATAGACATTGTTGTACTTATTTATTTTTTTACCAAGTGCCAGTATTAGATAACTTTCTCCTTTTTAAGTGATCTGCAAAAATACTGTAGACCCAAACATCTGTGCGCAGGGTTTAATGGTTCCACAAAAAATAGTATCTCAGAGTGTAATTTAATTTTTTTTAAATGCCTGTACGTCATATATTTCTAGTTGTTTATTTAAAAAAAACACCTTGAGAAGTGTAAAAACTAAAATGCCAAATTGTTTGAAATTGTATAGTAATAAATACAATTGAAGTGTTTATTTTTACCAAGGCTTAGAGCGGGCTCTTTTTAGAAACATTAAGCCCATAGCCAAATGTTAACATGTACTATGGAAGCCGCCTGAGGAAATCATCGACATATATATTGCATGCACACACATGTCAGCGTGTTATCAGGATTGCATGAGGTGATTCCCCGAAACACGTTTAAAAGAAACGTTTTGACAAAAATATATAAACAAACAGTTGTGAAGGTATATGTTTTCAATCAAACACATTTATAAATAGTTTTGTTGTACTTTTGCAACATTTAGGCAGACTCTTAAAGGAAATAAATTTGTCTGGCCTTATCCTAATCATCGTAGCATGATCTTGAAATGCTTTAGTTTTAATCGTCATAATGTAATTTTTGCGCGTAAGTTAAATGTAGGACCAGTAAAATCAAACTACTTACAGCATCTGCAAACTGGGCGAAGCCATCCCAGTTCTGCCTCAGTTCCATATACATGGCTGTGTAGTTGAGATTGCCCGTAATAGAACACAGGACTGTCTGCAGAGTTGATGGGTCAGCACTGGACTTTGACGTGTCGAACACAGTTGTGAACACAGTCATATTCGAACACAACTGTCCCAAAAAGTCGGGCATGTTCAGGAACTTGTAAATCTGGAGAAGAGAAGGCAAGAAACGTCAGTGATGTTCACAGAATAGTAACAATTCCTTCTGGACAGGGATACATTCACAGTGAAATTATCATAAATCGTCTTGAAGCAAGGGGTTCAGACAAACCAAACGTTTCACAGAACAGGACTTTCACCATGAAAGAATTGTTGTATAATTTGTAACATTAAAATGAGGTTGTGATAAACAAATGATCTCGAGCCCAAAGAAAAAAGCACCTTTCTTACAAAAGCAATAACTGATATTTATTTCAAATAATTTTAGGTTTAGGCAGCAACAGTTTTCACCTTCTGTGGTTCGTTGAAGTAGGACACGAGTGAGTCCAACACGAGCTTGCTGAACTCTGGTGCCAGTTCCGTCAGCCTGGAGGATGTCTTCAACTCATCAGAGCCCAGGTAGTCGTACACGTTCACTGTGCCATGTGCTGCAAATATTGAATGTGGTATTCATATGGAATTTTGTTTCCCATCATCTCAAACATGAAGCAGTCATACTCCGAGGTCTTGAGTCTTACATACATAAGTTCATACATCTTCTTGCTAGGCCAGGCTTTAACTTATTTGCTTGTTGGACAAAATGCCAAATACACAGAATGCCCAAACAAGTTGTTATAATTTTAGTTTCAAAAGAAACTTCATGAGATATGTTTTTGTACATATATGCAAACAAAATGGTGTACAAAAAGCGAATTTTAATCAAACACAGCTTTAAAACAAAATAAATTGGTTTGGTATAAACATTAGTATTTTGTAACTTTATCAGAAGAATGATTGCGTGAGTTCGGTTTAACACCGCTTTGAAAAATATTTCAGTTACATCACGGTGAGTGAGATTGATGTGGGAGGAAATTCCATTGTTATGCAGGTCTTAGACATATTTACAACTTTGGCGAAACCCACGAGTACGGGTATGGTGCTGACAAATCCAGAAACACAATCAAGCGACACTGACAACAGAAGCACTTACTTGAGAAGTACGTGAGGATTTTATTTAAGAAGGCTAGGGTGTGGTGATTTATGTATAGTTGGCCATACAAGGAGTTGAGGATGAAGGCATCGGCGCTGCCATCTGTAGAGTTCCCCATAGTCATCCCCAGCTTCTCCAGAGATATCTGGATCATTGTCACCAGATCTCCAAGTCTGCAAAAGAGTAGTGAGTGAGATAAGCTTTATGCCGCTTCAAGCAATATTCCCGCGCTGTCAATGCAGGGGACACCAAGAATAAGCTTTACATGTACCATATGGGAAATTGAATATGTGTGACAAAACCCTTTCCATAGTCATAAAAAGTCGATTTATGATTCCAACTGTATTACCAGTATGTGTTTAAAGCTGCTTTCTACATTATTGCAGTTATATCACGGCGTGTCAGCTTAGTGTGGGAGGAAAGCCCGAAGGGATGCAGGTCTCAGACGTTTACCACTTCGGTGAAACCCACGAGCATGGGTATGGTGCTGACAAACCTAGAAACATAATCGGGGCGAATCGAGATTCGAACCTACAATCATAGGTTTCGGCGTGCCCAAGGGACGCAACTCTGCACAGCGAATCGCGGCGCCTTAGACCACCGGGCCACCCGTGCCCCCTATGTATGATCTAACTGATAACCAGTAGCAAAATTGTATTATATCTTATCATTACTTGTTAAACAACCTATCTGATTCTAGTATAGAGTGAATGTTATTTCAACTGACCTCTGAATGTCAACATTCTCGAGAGATTTCATGGCAGCAACAAACTCGGTCCACTTCATGTCGATGGCAGAGACGTTGAAGGGAGCCATGCTAAACTGTGTGCTGCTGTTCATGACTAGTCCTTCAGTTATCCACTGTAGATATCGCTCTGTGTTGACCATAACCTCGGTCCAGTTGACCGTCACGTCTGGCAGGCTAGACAGGTCTGGGTTCGACAGAATAGCCACCTGGTGGATTAAAGCAACTTTGTAAGCGAATAGGAATGATCTGATATATTCTGATTAGTTAATAAATGTGTTCATTGGGATTTCGAAAAATACTTGGAGAAAAAAGAGCTGAAAAAGATAATGTCTTCAAGTTTTACAACAGAAGGAGAATCGTTCTCTGGAGATACTGGATGTTCCTGAAGAAAATGTGTTGCGCCTTGAAGTGAATTATATTTATGCCCGATGTAGGTTCATAACTCAAGAGATACATCAAGGTTCCACAGGCTGCTTGTTCTGGAAACAACTCACCTGATTCGTATACTCCTGCATGTAGGGATCCTGCTGTAGAAGATCCATGCCAAAGGCTGTCCAGTTCAAGGAGCAGGTCTCTCGTTCAAATTCAATAAGGGAGCTGTTGCTGTCAATGTCCAGGAAATCGGTCAGCCAAGATGTTGAGCAGTCAGGACCAGCAAACCCAGCTTGGAGGTCAAAGATCTTTTTAACCAGCTGCAAACAAATTTCAGGAAATAATTTATATGAATAAATATGATAATATATAATGAGATATGTATACATTCTGTAATGTCATTGCTAACTGTAATGATAATTCAATAAAACACTACGTAATTGTTTAAATACAGAGAAACCATTTAACACCATTGTCTTAGTGTATCACTTTAAATTATGTACCTTTGTAGTCAAGGAAGATTCATATTGGCAAAACTAATCTTATTTTGGCACAATAGTCTAATTATGGCACTATGATCTAACTTTGGCATTTTCTGGTCCAATATTGGCACTTTGCTCTAATATCGCCATTGTGGTCCAATATCTGCAGTACGATCTACTTTTTAACATTTTCTGGTCTAATATATGCAGTATCATCTTACATCGTTTTTATTGTCTAAAACTGGCACTATGGTCTTATATTTGCACAGTGATCCAATATCGCCCCTTTGGTCAAACATTCGCACTGTGATCTAATTTATTGCACTACCTGGCCTTATATTGGCTGTATGATCTTACATCGCCTCTATTTGATAACTTCACATACTATTTGATAACTTTACATATATTTGATAATTTTACATATATTTGATAACTTTACATTGATAATTTTTATGTATATTTGATAACTTTACATTGATAACTTTACATATATTTGATAACTTTTCATATATTTGATAACTTTACATTGATAACTTTACATATATTTGATAACTTTTCATATATTTGATAACTTTACATTGATAACTTTACATATATTTGATAACTTTTCATATATTTGATAACTTTACATTGATAACTTTACATATATTTGATAACTTTTCATATATTTGATAACTTTACATTGATAACTTTACATATATTTGATAACTTTTCATATATTTGATAACTTTACATTGATAACTTTACATATATTTGATATACACTACAAAGCTGTCCTACCTTCTCTGGATTTAGGATTGTATTTTTGAGGGCCTCGATGAAGTCTGGAGTCACCGATGCCATCTTCCTTGCATAAGCCTGGAACTCAGCTGGGAACGTCCTCAACAGGTCTGAGTAGCTGCTGCCCTCTGTACAAACACACGCGAGTCCAGCTTTATCACAGCATGTCATTTTTATGTGGGAGGGCAGTCAAAAGTTTGTTTGTTTGTTGTTTCACATTAACATCAGCTATATTTCGGCTGTGACGTCACTCCATAAATCAACATGTCTGAACGAGCTGTCATAATCATGACAAACCAGTGATTGATATTACCAGCAACATCTCATGCCATCATACTATCAACCAAGTCACCTCATCCCTGTAGTGAATCTTACAACAGGCATAGGTGTTACTGGAACTTGTTCTAACCCTGGATTCCCAACAGGGAAAGGTCAAAAGTGATTAATTCCATATATTTATCCTATTGAGTCGGCTGGTTTAACACTGCGTTAAGGAGGTTTTCATTTGAAAATTCAGTGTGTCAGCTTAATGCAGAAAGAATGCCCAAAGGAATGCAGGTCGTAGAAGTGAATTGTTTGGTGCAAACACATTGAGGATAATAATCGGGGTAATCTTGGATATGAAGCCATGATCAGCGGATCCTGACATGTTAAGAGGACAAGACCCAGCAGGGAATAGAAGCACCTTAGTCCACTGGCCATAGATCCACTCTTCCCATTACCCAGAGAAATCGAAAAACAGACAGACACATTTACAGACATGGGACTGTATACAGACTGTACTGAAAGGCTTGGGATTCTTAATTTGTCAGTTTTGTCATCAGAAACTATTTGGGGACATCAACCAGTGAACATTAGTACAGTGATGACAGACAAGATCAGGTGGATTCTGGGGTTCATACCCAAGATCAACACTATGGTTTAGAGGTAGTATCTGCCCTCTCGAGGATAATTTATTTCTCAGTTCCAAGCCAAAGGATTCTTTTACTGTCCCGTATATGTTAACAAAAGCAAGATCTTGAGACCCAACAAAATACGATTTGATCTGCTTGTTACTCACCAGTAATATTTGTGTAGTAGTGATTTACGAGTTTAAGGAATGCGTTGTATGCCAGGACGCTGTGCTCCACAATCTTCCAGTCATTGCTGTTCTGCATGGAGGGTTCAAGTTGGTGTATCACAGCCAGGGAAATGTCCATGAAGCTGAAACACAACACACACCATAGAGTCTACAGTAGGCTTGGGTAGACTTCAATATACAGGTATACACACAGCATAGAGTCTACAGTAGACTTGGGTAGACTTCAATATACAGGTATACATACAGCATAGAGTCTACAGTAGACTTGGTTAGACTTCAATATACAGGTATACACACAGCAAAGAGTCGACAGTAGACTTGGGTAGAATTCAATATACAGGTATACAGACACCATACAGTCTGCAGTAGACTTCGGTAGACTTCAATATACAGGTATACACACACCATAGAGTCTACAGTAGGCTTGTGTAGACTTCAGTATACAGGTATACACACAGCATAGAGTCGACAGTAGACTTGGGTAGGCTTCAATATACAGGTATACAGACACCATACAGTCTGCAGTAGACTCTGGTAATGGGTGTCGCCATATCGGCCTTGTTGTAGGTCCCCATGGATCTTTAGGTGTTACAATTCAAACATAATACTAACAACAACATGCCAAGAACATCACACCAACATACCAGCAACAATGATACCAACAACATTACACCCGTAACACATCAACAACAAGCCAGGAACATCACACCAACATACCAACAACAATGATACCAACAACATTACACCCGTAACACCACATCAACAACAAGACAGGAACATCACACCAAAATATGCCAAGAGCATCATACCAACATACCAACATACCAACAACATTATGCCAACAGCATTACACCAATAACACCTCACCAACAACAGCATTACAACAATAACACCTCACCAACAACATCATGCCAACAGCATTACACCAATTACACATCACCAACAATATCATGCCAACAGCATTACACAAATAACACCTCACCAACAACATCACACCAACAACATCGAGTACAGAAGCTTTACCTTGCCATATCCTTATATGTAAATCCCTCCATGATGTCACCCATCACTGCAAAGGTTTTCTCCATCCGTGTGAAGTTAGCAACTGTCATCAGGCTCACTGGACCCTCCACAAGCGCAAGCAGATTCCCTTGCTGACTCAGCATGGTCACAGTCCTTTCTGTGTAGTCCATGATCTCTGACCAGTCCTTCTGTAGGTCATAGCTGCGGCCAGGCTGTGGTTGAGTTGCATCGACTATCTGTGAAGAATTACAAAGTGTACATCATCATAAAAAGTGTACGGTTGTTTCTCATCCTCATGCATTTAGTACATAGTTAGTGAATGAGGTAGTTGATGTAACATTGCTTTGGGCAAGTATTGGTACCAGAATCCCCACAACAAACCAAGCATGGGATACAGGGAACCTACTGTGTACCAGAATCCCCACAACAAACCAAGCATGGGATACAGGGAACCTACTGTGTACCAGAATCCCCACAACAAACCAAGCATGGGATACCGGGAACCTACTGTGTGCCAGAATCCCCACAACAAACCAAGCATGGGATACAGGGAACCTACTGTGTGCCAGAATCCCCACAACAAACCAAGCATGGGATACAGGGAACCTACTGTGTGCCAGAATCCCCACAACAAACCAAGCATGGGATACAGGGAACCTACTGTGTACCAGAATCCCAAAAAAAACAAGCATGGGATACAGGGAACCTACTGTGTACCAGAATCCCCACAACAAACCAAGCATGGGATACAGGGAACCAACTGTGTACCAGAATCCCCACAACAAACCAAGCATGGGATACAGGGAACCTATTGTGTACCAAGCATAGGGTACTGGGCCCTGTTTTGTACCAGAATTCCCAGGAAGAACGTGCAAGAAACGACAGATCCCTATGTACCTGCTGGACCAGAGTGTTCATAGTAGATGTCATGTTCATGGCTTGGTTGTACATCTCTGGGAGTCCATAACAGACGGCGTTGGACATGTCGGTGTGGGGGACGTATGCCGGTAGTGGCATCTGCTGAACCCAGGAACACATTGCTGCCATTGGATCCGTAATAGACACGATTTGAACAATCTGAAATCAATATCAAAGTAACATGTGATCACATGAAGAGATGTCCAACCTGATACAATGTATGCTGTATGTTTGCTCTATAATTTACTTATTAATATAGGATGCAGTTCTCAAACAGGACAAAGCCTTACACATCCTAATAATATACAGTGAAGTCATAACACTCAAACAAAGACTTCAACTTTCAAATGTTGTAAGCAAAAAATACTTTTGCCTAAGGTTTAATTAAAATATCATTGTTCACTATATAGACACAAATGTTTCCTTTAAAAACATATAATAATTGGGCCGCTTCTCTAATGCATTTGAAGCTGTGACCAAATCTAATCCTGTCTCTGACAGGAATCTTTTTGCTTTGTGTGTTGTTTAACGCCGCACTCAGCAATATTCTAGCTATATGACGGCGGTCTGTAAATCATCCAGTCGGGACCAGACAATCTAGTGACTGACATCATGAGCATCGATCCACGCAACTGGGATACGATGACATGCATCAACCAAGTCAGCGTGACTGACCATCCAATCCCGTTAGTCGCCTCTTAAAAGCTTACGACAAGCATATTCGCTTTTTACGGCAAGCATGGGTCGCTGAAGACCTATTGTTCCCCAGAATTTCAGGGGTCGAGATTACAGGAAGAAAGCAATGATGAATGAAGTTTTAGCCTCCAGCAAAGTGGCGTCAACATGATCAGAATGAACGATACAAGGTGGAATGTGAATACAAACAGCTTGACCATGGACTGACCTGTGAAGGGTTCTTGGCCATGGTGGACATCGCCTGTAGAAGTTCTGGTGCATACGTGGTCACCATCTGCACCATACGACCTAATGTGGAGGTGGGCGAGTAGATGTCTTGGAACAAATAATATAGAAATAAAATATTGAAGAAAGAAGTTCTTTCTTCTTTTCAAGAAGAGTAAAGTGTATGTTACACAAAATAACTGTCTCATATATTAACATTAATCCACTTGGAACCATATAGGAATAAGTGAAGAAAGTAGCAAAATACGTTTTATGCTTAGAATAACTTGAAATATTCATGAACAATTTAATCATTATCCAACCTCTATGCAAATGATGAAATCAGGTATATACATTTCAACTTTTCGTTGTATTTACATATACATAGTTAGTTGTTGTTTAATGCCACATTTCTGAATATTTCAGAGGCCTGTAAATAATCGATTCATGACCAAATAATATTACATTTACAATAGCATCCAAATATAAAATGATCAGGAAATCTTTAAAACAGAATTAGTTCTTACCCAATAGCATCTGCATGTACTTGTAAAAATTCTTGATGACAGAATCTGCCATGTGTACATACTGGCCGATCATAGGACCAACGTTTCCATTATCCATGGCAGTACCAAAACCTCGGAACATCGCCAGAAACCTAGAGTAGTTACATACTATTAGATTTGTAACACATACTTAATAGGTGAGTAAGGTAATTGTTCTTTTAGTCACATTTAGCAATATCACAGCATTATCATGATAGGGACGACCAACAGACTTACATGAAACCTATCTGAGAATTGAACGCTGGTCTTTGGCATGATAAGCAAAGGTTTCAACCAATAAGCTACCCCATCACTCGTATCCTTAATAAGTCTCATACACTACAAGGAATAATCATCCTTTCTGTATCAATATATCTGAATCTTGGATAGAAATATCCGATGTTTATGAAGCAACTAAATATTAATGAGAATTCATACAATGACAATTGACCCTCAACAAAGTCATCTCAAAATATTAATGACCATGAGAAAAAAAGGTTAATAAGCAAGGCCTCAAATTCTGTGTTTAAATAGTTATGAAAAGTCAATGAATTATTTAAGACTCTACTTTCATAAGGGAGATATATGTCTACCCATGGTCAGTACTATCAACCCCCTGTTGTCTATTACACCTTTAGACAACTAAGACATTAGACTAACATTTAGTCTCTGAAATCTTATATTACACAATATCCTTCTTGACTCTAAAAATAAAATAAAAATCCCTATGCTGATGTGGAATAGAGCTAGCCTGAGCTGGCTAGACTTGCTTTTGTATGCATTTCTAGATTATTTTTTTTAATAAAATAAATATATTCCACGGTCATGGTGCAGGACAACTAAGACATTCGTGACCCCCATTTCAATAAGATAAAATGAAAAAGGCATCGAGCAGAGAACTGAGTATATGTCCGTCACATGTGACACAGGTATTGGACATTTACTACTTTGGTTAAACCCATGACCACGGATATGGTCCTTACAGGGCAAAGATTGTAAAGGGACGAAATTTTAGTGAATGTATCAGCAGGTCCTGGCATGACAAAGGGAAGCAACTATGCATTGTAATTATGCCACCTTAGACCACTGGGTCACCGTGCCCTCAGGAGTCTATTATATCCTGAATTGACTGTATACTAAGACGTAGGACTTACGCTGATGCTACATAATTCTGGTTCATCTGATCTAGAACCGGTTCCCATTGTCTTTCGGAAAGATCAATGTTTGGTAGACGGATTGTTGTGAAAACGTTCCGCCAGGTGGCATTAGTTATGTCAACAAAGTTCATGACAGCTGTTGCCATATCCTGGGCTCTCAGGAACACCATGGTCAGGTTTGCTGGGGGGATCTCGCCATTCATCAAGTTCCTGATCTTCGTCACTGTATCATCCATCTGCAATTTAGGAGAGGGAACAGTCAGCTTCAACTCACAGTATGAGCAAAACACCAGACTCAGACTACAATGACTACAAGCAATACAATATACACACCTGGTAAATATGAGCACACAAAAGAGAAGTAGAATTTCTAAAATTTTGCTTAACCTGTTTCATTTCTCATTTTATAGATTTCCTCTACCGTATGTGAAAGAATAAAAGATAAAAATCTAAAAGATAAAATTGACAGATAAAATTTAATGTTTCGGGGTTAATTTGAGGTTAAAGTCCGTAAACCTACAACCCAAAAAGAGTATTGTAAAAAGTACATTGTTTAATCTTTTTGTTACCTGTTACAATTTTCAATAAATCAAGAAAATATGTAATCCTTAAAAACATGTCTGTCATCATTTCTTTTCGGGTTTTAATCTTGCAGAATAGAACCATGCACTAGACTTACAATTCTCTCAATGTCTTGTGCTCTTAGTGACGCAAACAGGTTGTTGACAGACGCTGAGATGTTGGCGGTGCACATAACTGCTCTCAAGTCTGCCACTACAGTAACATCAGTGGTTTTGGCCACATCATCCATGATGCCGTTGCAGAAGGCTTGGTAGGAGAAGGGGTACTCAAACAGTCGCTGTTCATAAAATGGAACATCACCAATTCATAAACAGTAATCAATGTAATTGCTGCAACAAGCATTTAACCGAAGGGGGTCAAATTGGGGCACTTCACAAAGTAATCACATCCACTGAAAGCTTTAGTTACTATTTTTCTTGTTTGGTTAGTTATCTTTGAACTACGACTATAGATGTGTTTTTCAAAGGCCAACTTCATGATGATACAATAGTGTCTTTCTTTATTCAAGAACAATTTTTACTATCACTTTGAGATCCTTGAACTCTTAGTGTGTTAACCAATGACATATGTTACTTGCACTAAACCTAGGAGAACAAAATCTATGTCAAATCATGTTAAATATATAAATTTCCATGTCATGTATCTCATTCAAATCATTCAATCTAATTCAAGTCGGATCTTTTACTTTGATATGATATCTCTCTATGGTATCAGCGTACAGTGTTCATTGACTGATTGAAAGTCAAGGCAAACCCAAGCTCAACCTGAATAGCGGTATTTTGTGCACACATTTTGACCAGGATTATTGCCTGATAGATAGCTTCACGTGTCTACACGTACCGCCAATGCCTTAGAGTCAGTGAATGCTGACAAAACAGCCATAGTGATGTTGGGCCCTTTGTTGAAGAGTGTGGTCAGTGCTGATTGTGCTGGGCCAATCTTGTTTACCATGTCAGACACAACTGTCTCCAAGTCTGTGAAAAAGATGATCAAATAATGATAAAAGTAAACTGTTTTAGTACCGATAAGAATATACATGGAGACCAGTCTTCACTCATTTTGTAAACACTTGGATTTCGTTTCAATAACTTTTATTTTGGCTACAATACGATGACACACAATCAGCCAGGTCCACATTGTAACCACCCAATACACTTTTGAGTCGCACATTACAAGAAGTATGAGCACCTATTCTGCACTTGAATCCAACTGGGATAGGCTGAAATTGAGTCACGATTTGATTAAATATGCTTCAACTCTGAGCAGATCTTAAGGGCCCTTTTCATTTCATGACAGTAGAACATATTATCGTTAAATGGATACACATCAAACCTACCCTTTGTCTCCTGAATCATGATGGTACTAATGTCTAGCATCCGGTTAATCACCATGACAACAGGAGCTGTTACATTCCAAATAAGTGGTTGACTTTGAAGTGTGGTCTGCAGTTGCTGGAGGTTTTGTTCAGTTGCTCTGTAGTAATAATAATAATAATAATAATAATAATAATAATAATAATAATAATAATAATAATAATAATTGTTTTGACAATGATGTTTCAAAGACAACTTACAATTACTTTTTTGCCAAACAATCATAACCTGACCTTGTGAACTGCATATATGAGACAAACGAAGCATTTTTAAACCAGTTCAATTGACCAAAATGATTAAGAAACTGATGTCTCTAAAGTTTTGAGCCCATATTTAAGCAAGGCTTTGGAATGCTTTGGAATGCTTTGGAATAATACATCCAAACATCACGTTAGGAGTCGCTGCTTTATCATTATACTCCAGTGTTGTGCCATAATATACAGAATGGCCACTCAGTTCAATTAAAGAGACACGCCTAATCTCTTAAACTGGGAATTCAATACTGAAACAATAAATACGATTTTGTAGCTGAGTCAATCTCTCCACTGGCCTTTCATCATAAAAAAAATACATATCTGAGAATAAGATCATTAATTATTTTTTGTCAGGGTGAAAAGGATCAAATCGCAAAAAAATCAACACTACTCACTTGGTATTGACAGCACCATTGGCTATCTGGTCGTAGATATTTAACCAATCCACTTGTGTCACTGCCCCAAGGAGCAGCTTAAAATCTACTTGCATGGCTCCAGCCAACTGCTGCACATACTCTAGCATCTTCTGTGCGGAGCCAAAGAGTCGATTGATTGTGTCAGTGGCGGAACCATTGGTTTTCTGCTGTACGAGGTCAGACAAGTCTGCAGCCACCAGCACTGTATACTTCACAGCGTACCAGATGGTGTCGTTAGGTTTCATGGCCTCCACCACAGGGTCCAGAATACCCACCAGTCTTACAAACCTACAAGAAACAACAAGATACAACATACTTTCTTCTAACAGATTCGGGGGAGGTGTGTCCAGGCGCTGTGATCCCCTTTCTATAGAAGGCCCACATGTCTATGGAAGATCCAGTATGTGTAAACGAGTAAATTACAAAATTTGTGACCGCCTGCCGCTCCCCTACCTTCCCACCACCCCAGAACTACCTTCACAGTCGGAGGACGATACTATTGAAGTCTTGGTGTCTATAGTTATCACCAACATAAAGGATTGGTTAGGTTGGTTCATTAAGGACATAGACGTACAATGTAGAGCTTTATTACCCTAAAACTGGAAGAAATACAATAATATCAGAAAAGGACTTCATCATCTGACACAAGACCACACTTTGTTTCCACAACAAGTAGGGAAAACAGATCTACTTCATGAAAACCTTACAATTTCAAATTTATTTTCATATTGACGAAAGAAGTGATTACATTCAATTTGTTTAATATATACATGTATACTTACGGTGCCATGTCAAAGTATCCCATCTGTTTTATTTTATCAATCATCTCCGGCAGTTTACGGATAAGGTCTGGCAACTGTCTGAGGCTGGACATGGATGCGAGAGCTGCCTGGAGAGAAGGCGACTTCATCGCCAGGTCAACCATGTCTGCAATGTCCCCGAAGGCTTGAGCAGATGTGTAGGGCATTCCAAGACGCTTCTTAAGCTTTTCGAACTTCCCCATCTAAAGGAGAAAGGACAATTTGTCATTTGTTTTATCCGTAATAACGTATTACCTTTATTCACCAGGAAAAAACAAAACAATTTTAAACATTCACGAGGGGAATCTACTCATTCATCATTTAAAGCAAAAAACATCACACAAACCAATACACTCAAATACCCCACAATCAATGTACATATCAAGCTATCTATCACTTATCTATCAACTAATTCATCCAAATCACGCACAAATCATTCACTTATCGACTGACTGATCCATCCATTCCAAAACTTAGGAAATTTATAGCTTCTGGTTCGTCAGTCAAAGATTTCAGACCACAATAACCAGATGAGTGAAACAGGTTACTTTACATTTGCATCAACACGGAAGCTGCATTTTATTGAAAAAAACTTCTCTCTCAATCATTATCAGTAGGTATTGTGAAATAAGAATATGTACAATGATATGTATGCTGGGTTGATCATTTCAAGCCCCAGGCTACGCTTCAGTGGGCGCTTCAAACTTAGCAACGAGATGTCTACAGTCAGTATACATGTAGCCCTACACAGTTTGTTGTGTTTGTTGTTGAAAGACGCACTCAACAATATGCCAACTATATGAAGGAGGCCTGGACCAGACAACCAAGTGATTGATATTGTGAACAACGCTCCACGCCATCAACAAACTCACCGCCTCCTACGACCAACATAAGTTGATGCGGACCAATTCTAACCGGGAATTCCTATTGGGTAGCTCTACACTGAAAACTCAGTATGTTTAGCTCCCAAGTTACTACCGACCTATCCATTGGCTAACTCACTTATACTTACATCTGACAACCTACACATCTACACATCCATCAGTCAACTCATTTATTGAGCCGTCTTTTACGCATGTCCCTGTGTAACCATCAAGGGTCACATTAACAGCGACAAAAGTCAAGAACTTTTCACAATGGTACTCAAGTCTATGTCACTTATTCTAGTACCAAAGTTTTACAACTGTCACATCAACCATTTTTCCTCTTTGTTCCATTCTGGTGGCATGGTGGCCCAGTCATGTAAGGTGCTGAAGATAGCTGTGTGGAGTTGGGACCTTTAGGCGTGCCTGAAATCTATGTGCATGGGTTGGAATCCCAGGTTCAACCTGATTATAATTCCAGGTTTGTCAGTTCCATACCTGTGCAAGTAGTATGAACTGCATCACTTCGGGCTTTCCTCCCAAAGTAAGCTGACACACTGTCGTTAAACCCAAGGCACTCACTCATTCAATTTTATCATCTACCTCATACAAATCAGCGACATACCATACCATGTATCACCTTCAAGCTGTGAAACTGTGAAAGGTATCATACATCACTCTACAGAGTTGTTTCCCTTAACCATGCCAGGATCCACTGGTCCTTGGTTCCAATAAAAACTTAGTCCCATGAATGATTTGTCCTTACATCAACCATTTCATCGCTTGTCAACTCAATGTCAATCCTAATACCCATACATCAACCATTCATTAGCCTGAAAACAATGACACTTACAACCCTGACAAGCTCTGCTATGTCAAACTGGGACTGGAGGAACCTGCTGATCTCGGAGATCCTGTCGGTGCTGATGATGCAGAGGCTGGCGGAGATGTTGCGGACATCGACATCGGGTTTGAACAATAGGAACTGGCTCAGTCGGGCAGGATTACAAGCAACACCGCGGAAGTCAGGATAACCAATGATGTCGAATATCTGCACAAGAATCAGGGTTTTAATCAACTACAGATGGAAACAATGTCAGTTACAAGTTACAAGATATATATAGATATATCGACAAATAATGCAAAGAATAGACACAAAATCTATACCTCCATGCCGTGTATGTTGTTAAGTTCATATATTCATGATTTGTACCTTGTTGATCATGATTTACAAACATATTTGTGTGTATGTTGGTGTGTGTGAGTGTGCGTGCGTGTTCGTCAAGGCTATGACTAATTTAGTGCTCTCTTAAAAAAATCGTTGGTGAGATAGAAAGGCGATAAAATATGGAAAATCATATTTCTTGAGATGGCAGTCAAATGGTTAAAATAAGGACAATCATATTTCTTGAGATGGCAGTCAAAGGGTTACCATAATGTCCTTACCATTTGGTTCAACTGTAAAGTGTTTGTTTTTTAAATTACTGAATACGTTGCCTTGGCGAGAAGAAAAAGAGACCAATATGGTATTTCTAATTTCACTGCACGTGTTAATGGATCTGTGAACCAAGTGCAGTCGACTCTAGGTACATAGAAACCGGATAACTAGAAAATACAAATGGGTAGATACTTGTGATCCAAACTACATCCTTCTTCATCTATCACCATCCGTAACTGGATACCTAGAATCGCGTAATTAGGAAACCTTGAATGACGGTTCCCTGGGTTCACAGGGAAACTGTTCCTTTAACTAGGAAGGAACTGGTAGGCCAAAAGTTCTGATGGTGCATGTCAGACCAGTGCAACTGATTTAATAAGTTATTGAACGGCTTAAGAACATGTACAATTAGTATGGATGTATTCTGGATGTTGTAATGTCACTTCATGAAGCATGAGTGATAAACAAATGTTGGAAACATCCTTGTCAGGTGAGTGTGAGTGCAAACTGGATACGTAGACACGTGTGGTGTAGTCAGGGGAGTTGTCTGCTGCACCTACCATAGTGATGTTGACAGTAGAATCCAACAAGGCATCCGCCTGTTCCTCGTTCATCACTTTATAGTTTGCCACCAGGACCTGTTTCACGTAGTTTGGATCTTGGAAGAAACTCCGGACTGTTAGCATAGAATCTGGAACGGTAAATTCGTCAGCTATACTTTGAGTTGGGCCAGATTTACCCACATAAATTTGTCATCCATGGCTGTACACATGACAGACCTCCCCCATTTGGCTATGTGTTTCTTTACCCTCACCAAAGAATCTAAATTTGTCAACGTGGTATGTTTTGAAATCACAGAAACATTACTAATTCTCAACCACAACGTACCATATTTGCATAAATCTTCCACTGAACTTTCAATCCACACTATAAAGACTCTTATCACAAAGGCAGGTTACTGTGGTTGCTGGAGACCGGTTCTAAAGAGGAATCCTCATACGGGGCATATTGACTAAGAACCTACTTGGTATGAAACAAGCAATAACTTGCAGCAATCAGATTATGCAATATTTGATCCATCTTGTCATTTTTAATACACTATATGCATTTCATGGCACCCTTGGTGATTCCAGTAATGAATACTCACCCAAGCCTGCCAGCAGGTCGGAATCATTGGCAATGTTAACAAGTGCATCCATCACGGAGACGCCTTGATCCATAGCTAACAGACCCTGGATAACATCATCGGAAGCCAGACTCGGAGCTAGTTGTTGTACTAACTTGGACACACTGTAAAATATAATGTCGTATTAAAGCATGATACACACTTTAAGAGAAACATAACAATTATATAAAACGTCAACGCCAAAAAATATATAGCCATTCTCGATTATCCGACGAAACAGATCCCATTGGGCATAAGAGACAAAATAGCTGCGAAAATTATATGAATGAATCACTGAAAATCAGTGATGACACCATGTGTTCCCGCAAATGGTAAGCATGTCCTCCCCTACCGGTAGCACCATAAAAGTAAGTGTTTGTTTGTTGCCTGGCGTCGCACAGTAGTACTCCTGGCATTCGACGTCGGCCCGTAAATAAACCAAATTGACGGACCAGAAAATCCAGAGACATGATAGCGCACTTACTGATTTTGTTGAAACTAAAAACGACTTTTTATTTTTGAAGTACGTCTGAAACGCATGTAACGAATGTGTGTTTTTTTTATCTAATGACCAATTGTTTCAATAATCCTAATTGCGTCAAAATGTCAGTGCCCATCAATCCAACTTCTTCACTGTATGGGCATATTACTTAAATCTCGTTATGTAAAATATTTGACTAAAACATCGGGCTCATTATACAGGCAGCGATGCTATTTGAAAACATGTTTTAAATTTTTCCGTTTTCATGTCTTTTGAGTCACTACAGTAACTGGCCTAAACACATCTTGGGCCGAACAAATTCAACAAACTTCAAATTATTATTTGTAATTAATCTGCAAACCGTTAACTAAAACAAGTTTGGCCTAATTGAGAATCTGTGCCACTTTGGTTTAGTAAAGGTCAACCTTTATGACAATTATAATTGTGTACCCGGCCATGTGCCGCTGTTCCGAGGCTGAGCTAAATTAGGTGTTGTGTAATACTATTAATGTCATCGTCACTTCTTTATAAGTGAAATGTCTTCGATAGCAGAAGATCAAAGTGGGTGTGACTCAATAAACAGTTTTCTCTCTACAAGGAACCTTTCCCTTCTTTTAAAAAAAAAAAAATGTCTCAATCCAAAACTATTTTTATTCTTAAACATGTGATTTTGCATGTGATTTACTTCCTGCTAACTATCTTTGAATTCATTTATATTACAAGTCAGGAATGCCGGGATCACACAATAAATGTAAACATTACTTCATCTGACCTCATTCCTCATCCATGTATCTTCATACATATGTCATCATTTATATTTATCATCTGACATAAATACCTGTTGTGCAATATCCTGTCTAGGGGTGGCCCTGTAACCATCCATTACTCCATTGTCAAATATTAGTCAGCATGCTTACGTTCATTTCATTACATAGTAAACATATACTAGTATTTCGACCACTCCCACAAAACTAAACTAAAGCACACGTATATAGTAACCATACTTAAAATATCAGATGACTCAGTAAATAGAAGAAGTAAATTCAATCGCTGGTCTGTATCAGGTCAGTGATGTTAATCTAGCAAAGCCTTCAGCTAGGCAAACATTCTCCTTTTGCCTATCCACAAACAATGCTTTGTACTTAGGTCTCCCAAGCTCAGGTGACACAGTGAAAGTACTGGAAGGTTTTGTTGTTGTTGCATTAGGTGTTTAAGAGGTCGCCTTCTGCCTAGGCAATTTCGGCTGACCTGTCCCTCTTTGGGACTCCTGTGTGTGAGAAGGGTTCACATATCTATTGTGAGTTCGGTGTTCACATAATTTCTATTTTTGCATTGATATGATTTCTATTTTCGTATATTGATATGATTTCATTTTTATCCTTGGCTGCTCTGTTTATATACGTTCGAGCAGCTGTCCATCTCTCAGAAATAGAGTAAGTTTGGCCTTCGCTATTGCATCTCTTGGCTTTAGGAGATCTATGACAGATAGCGGATCTAACTGCAATTCTTGTTTTAACCTAGCCCGGGCTGGGGCATGGTCTTGACATTCTAGTAACAGGTGGTCAATGGTTTCAGCCTGATTGCAAGATAAACAAACCTTGTCATAGTGCTTTTTGTGACCAAGTCTGAGGCGTGAGATAGCAGTTTCAATTTTCCTTTCATTTGAGTATGAGTTTGGCTTTTGTTGGACCTTGGGTTGAATTTTGTATAGCCATCTGCCGATCTTACTTGCGTCCCATTGGGTTTGCCATCTTTTTGCTATGGAGGCTTTGATTTTGCTTTTTATCTCTAGTTTACTAAAGGGAATAGGCTGTATATCCGCTTTGTCTAGAGCTAGCTTCGCCAGTGAGTCTGCTTTTTCATTTCCATGAATATCTATGTGAGAGGGGATCCAACACAGCTCCACCTGTTGCCCTTGGTCCGATAGTTTTGTATATTCGTATAGAATATTGTTGACTGTGTTTGGCCTGGAGTTTGAGTTTCTTCCACTGATGGCCTGAAGTGCACTTAGCGAGTCTGATAGGACGACTGCCTTTGCTTCCGGGAGTTCCGGTATGAGTTTAAGTGCATGATGAATTGCCTCCAATTCAGCTGTGAATACTGACTGACCATCGGGCAAGCGAACTGAATGTGCTTGGGGTTTGGAGCTGTGGATATGGATCCCGTAACCAGCACTGTTGTTGATAGGATTCTTGGATCCATCAGCGTATATATGGGCCCAGCTGTCCCAGGTAGTTTGAATTTTAGTGATAGCTACTGATCGTAGTAGGGTTGGGTTTTCTCTTTTAGTGACTTCTGATGTTAAAGCAGTGTCAACTTTGGGAGTTTGTAAAGTCCAGGGAGGGTGTAACCCTTTGTAGTGACTTTCTGGAGGCTGAATGTACTGGAAGGTTTTGTCTCTAAGGTTTATACAAGAATCAAGGCGGTCAGTCTGAAGCACAGCTGCGCATCTTCAGGCAATGAGCATGTGTGAAGAGTATGGAAATCACACATTTGGGGATAATCAGATATTTCCTTTTTACATCTGTCTGCATGGTGGGTTTCCAAACATTCTCTGATATGAGTTTAGCCACTAGTCTGAACCCCGAGCCAACTCAAATTTTGTTTGGTCTAAGCTCAGCTATTGACACTAACATCTACTGATGTTAATTCTAACATCTACTGATGTTAATTCTGAGAGCCAAGTTGAGGTTAGACTCAGACATGTTTGACACACTGATATCTAGACCTGCCACTCGCAGAAGGTAAATATTAAACATTTAAACGCCAGAGAATAATCAGTCTCGATTATCTCCAGAAACAGATTAAATCATGACTGCAAGTTGGTATTGGGAAATTTCTGACTTGAGTTAATGCGGATATTAGATATGGCGAATCACGTGTGAACTTGAAGAGAGCCGATGTGCGGAATGGCTGACTACAGGCGATGGTATAAAGGAGGGATGACACTTGACGCCTGTGAACACCGCCCCCCCCCCCCCCCCCCCCCCAACCCCAACACACACCCCTTCCACCCACCACCCCCACCCCCACACACCGCACCCCCCACCCCCCACCAAGCTAGTGTCCGGGGGTGAAATAAGTTACAGGGGTGATTAAGTTACAGGGGTGATAGAGTTACGGCAGTAATTAGCCTCGGTGGAACACAAGGATAGGTGCTGACTGCCAATGAATCATAACTGATTCTTCACTAATCCCTGACTAGAACGCCGTTCGAGTTTTAATCGAAATCAGGCTTCTTCCTTAATCCGGATTAGGCAGGGGGTCTTCTCCAAAGCAAATAGCATATATTTCATGGTTCACCAAATCAGATGTTGCATTACATAGCCTTCGATGTGCAGAGTTGCGTCCCTTAGACACGCCAGAAACCTATGATCGTGGGTTCGACTTCCGGTTCCACCCTGATTATGTTTCCAGGTTTGTCATGGAGTTTTTATATTTCAATCTGTGTTTCCACCTTCCCTCTACCTATGCAGTGTATCCCAGGAATAAATGAATGAGTGAGTATGGTTTTACGCCGCTTTTAGCAATATTCCAGCAATCGTCTGGGAAACCAGAAATGTCTACAACGTATGTATTTAAATCATTGACAGTTGATAAAGAGTGTGGTTGTCTCACCTGTAGGTCGTCTCCTGGGCCCGATTCAGGGTATAGGGGCTGTGGCACTGGTTATCCAGGTTGCATACAAAAGTCTGGAGGAAGGGCACCACGCCCGCACTGGGCATAGCACGCTTTTGGTAGTGACCTTGAAATATTTAGAAACACAGTATTTCAAATTGAGTTAGTGAGTGAGTCAATGCCGCTTTTGAGCATTTGTTGTTTGTTTGTTTGTTGTTAATGACGCACTCAGCACTATTCCAAATTTATGACGGCGGTCTGTCAATAATCGAGTCTGGACCAAACAATCCAGTGAGTGACATCATGAGCATCAATCCACGCAATTGGGACCGATGACATGCATCAACCAAGTCAGCGAGCCTGACCACCGGAACCCATTAGTCGCCTCTTACGACAAGCATAGTCGCCTTTTACGGCAAGCATTGGTTGCTGAAGACCTATTCTGCCCCGTATCCTTACGGGTCGAACATTTATTGACGCAATTTGAAGGTGTTATGATATGAACATATATTAACCAACAAAATTGTACTCCAATCACTCCGAGTTGGGGCATGTTGAACAAATGAGAGAAGAGGGGAGAGATTTGCTGTAGTGAAACAACAGAATATCATCATCATTACACAAATTGAAATAAAACAACAAAGAGCCTACTTTGAGAGATGCTTACATGTATCTTTGTCTTGAGGTGGCACCCCTTGTCTGATGATGGCGATCACGGCGACGATCAACACCGGCCATGCTACCTCAAGGACGAGAGTGATCTGTAACAGATGCAGATACAGGTGGTCAAGTCGTGCATCTGTGTATGCAACCACTTTGTATAAATTCATCCCTATTTGGCCCTGACGCACACAGCGCATGTATGGTTTTGTTTGGTTTGTTTGTTGTTCAACGTCCCCTCAAAAATAGTCCAGGGCCCCGTTCCTCAAAGCGATCCTAGCGCTACGACTGTCGTACGTCTTTGTTCAAGTATGGGCGTTGCGATTATTTTAGTGCTGAGATCGCTTTGTGGAGCGGGCCCCAGCTATGTGACGGCGGTCTGTCAATAATCGAGAATGGACCAAACAATCCAGTGAGTGACATTATGAGCATCAATCCAAGCAATTGGGATCAATGACATGCATCAACCTAGTCAGTGAGCCTGACCACCCGATCCCGTTAGTCGCCTTTTACGACAAGCATTGTCGCCTTTTACGACAAGTATGGGTTGCTGAAGATCTATTCTTCCATGGATCTTCACGGGTCCAGTGACCTATGTGGTTGGTGTGATAACTAATGGCACTTTGTCCAAAATTTCCAACTTCATCGGAAACGACAGTCAAATACCATCATAAATGTTAGTCTCTGGGGTCTTACAGGTAAGAAATGGTCCCAGCAACCTATGCTGGTCGTTAGAGGCGGCTAAATGGGTCGGGTGGTCAGGCAGGTTGAGTCTGTGCCATCTTACCACGACACGTTGGTCGCTGCTCGTAACATCAACCATTGTTTGTCCAGTCCAGACTCGATTACTTACAGTCACAGTTACATTGTTATAATATTTCTGAGTTCGGTGTGAAACAACAAACAAATAGGGTTTGTTTTTTTTAAAACTTTCCCCAAAGTCAAAAGTCCGATACCCTGAATCTGAATTTATAACACTGCGATACGGCCTGGATATTATTAGCCAGAGTTGTATGGGTATGTAATTGTATAACGTCAACGTCACAGTACGCGGGATTCGGCGGCTCCATTAACTGGTATTCGGGACGCAGCAGTGTGGTTCGCGGGACGCAAATACAATCGTATTTGGTATGCAGATTCAATATCAATAACTAATGGGGTGCGTAGATATTTTCATTATAAATAATATTTTTTCGATATTTAATGTCCAGTAATAAATTTCAAATCGCAACCTTCTTGGACCTAGGGGCGTGTTCTGTAGGTATTCGTCTGTGATCAACATTGTGCCGTTGTGGAGAAAAGTCTGACATGTGCTTTTGAAATATTGTTAAAATAGCAATCGGGATTCTAGGGTGAGCAAATGAGATGGTATTTTTGCTTCGGGGTGGCACCCTCATTAATCAGTCTCGAATTATCTGTCCTGATCTGTCGTAAATTCAGTGATGACACCAGGTGTTCGTAAAAAGGGTGAGCATGTCCTGCTCTACCGGTAGCCCCGACCGATAACACAAATTGCATAAAAAGTTTGTATGTTGCCTAAAGTCCAAAATCAGTACTCTGCCATACGCTTTTATGTTACATCTATATCACTGCGAGCTGTAATTAATACAGTAATCACCCGATCTAAATTCTAGACGACTCTCTGCACGAGGCACTGGGATGATGCCCTGCACAGGAATACCCTGTGGCAAGACCAGGTGTGCGTCGTGCCAAGTCAACATATCGAGATAGTGATAATCGGTGGGTGTGTGGGTATAATTCCACACCGCCTCAAGTGTTATTCCTCTCACATACTGGTAAAACCAAATCTTGGCATCATGTTATTCAGTAATTACTCATATCGAACAAACACTGGGCCATCATACCGTCCTTTTTTATTATTAGACGGGGAGGTTTGGCAACAAATAACGTTTACATTATAAGTTATAGCAGGATCACGAGGGGTACGTGGGGTTTTATGCGTCCCGCGTTTGGTATTACACCAGGAGTCGGAGGAGTGTGTAGCCGGAGTGACACTGTTACAACGAATGTATCTTTCAGACATGCTTTAATCTGATATTGTGAAGAATTAAAACAAATTCAAAATTGACAGGAAACAGCTGTACGACTGAGATGAGGTTAATTTGTGCTACGTCACGTGACTTTCATTGACCCGGAAAAAGCGTACGGCTTTTTGCTCCGAAGCGAGGTATATGAGAAATCCACGTGTTGCCTGTTTTCTTCGTGGCGGGGTGTACGGAATTTATTCATCCTCGCAGGCGGGATACACATTATTTTATCAAGATCGCATGGACCAATCAGATCTCATCATTCTGACATGGAGGTCAGAGGTCATAGGTCACAATGAAAAATATTCAAATTACTCTCTCCAAACATTCACTCATAATGAATGGTGAGGTGAAATGGTGTTTAACGCGGTGTTCAAAATGACTGCACTAATATAGCGACGTGTGTGTGTGAGTGTGTGTGTGAGTGTGTGTGTGTGTGTGTGTGTGTGTGTGTGTGTGTGTGTGTGTGTGTGTGTGTGTGTGTGTGTGCGTGTGCGTGTGCGTGCTTGCGTGCATGCTTGCCTGCATGTGTGTTAGGCTGCTTGTACAAGTCCGGACTAATGCCGATTTATAGTGCTAGCTCACTGAGATACCATGCCGTAATATAACGTGATTACCCCACTCAGGCACACTATACCGACTCCGAGCCAACCAGTCGTTGTTTTATCCCCTTAAGGTCGAGCCCTAGGCTTGGAAACATCAAGTACCATAGTTTAACGCCTTTTGGTGTGATGCGGCCGGGGATCGAACCACCGATCTTCCCCTCTCCGGGCATACGCTCTATCCACTAGACCAGAGAGGCGGTTTGATAATAAGGGTATGTGAGAGCAAGTTCTAGTAACCACTTTGAAAAGTTGGGAGGAAGGCACAATATATCACACACACAAAATATGGTCGATACAACCCGTGGGTACAGTTTGGAGAAACCAGGGCTTATTAGGCGGAGCGAATCTGAGATTCGAACCTACGGATCCTGACACGGCTACGTGGCTTGCAATGAGGACAATAAAAAAGAGTGCAATACCCTTTGATGAAAAAAAATAATTCAAATGTACAGTTAACTGCTCCAAAGTCAAATACGAAAAATAGCAGCAGGAATATAGTCACTGGAGAGCCTGTTTGTAAGTCACATGACCTCATTCAATACTTGTCAGCAGATTATGTCCCGTCCAAACTAATACGAACGGCTCGAAAAGAATGTACACAATCTTTATGAAGATGTAAATGACACCAGCTGGTTCGCCTTCCCGAGAACACGACTATCTATACCAATTTCCCCGACAGTATCACTCACAGCCACTCAGGCCAAGTTAGGACACAGGGCCCTATGTTTTGTAATCAGACTTACTCGAGTTCCCATGTTCATATTACAGCCCTGGTGCATTAATTGCCTCATCAGGTTTTACAGATAAAACTTCGTGTCTCTTACCACGTTAATATTTTCTTTCCGTCCAAAGTCTTTGAGTATTTTTATATCATAATGGGGCATTCAGGTGTTTAACCTCTGTAAAACGAAGTGGAATCAATTTTTTTTTTGCAAACGGATCCTGGCACGACTAAGGGGCGCAACAAGTGGTATCTTGGTATTTAAGGATTATACTATACGTACTTTCAGCATTTGCTCAACAGTAGAAGATACATCATTAATTTCACAAAGATAAAACAGTTCCTTGGCATATGTATAGCACCGGGACAGGTGTAACAACGTCATATTTATATACTGATGTTCCTACACGGTTCCCGTATAGTGCTTATTCTGTTGAGGGGAATATCCGAGTAATTCTATATTCTTTGAAAATAATGGAGCCGATGGCCAATTTATTGATCATTATTCGAATATCTTCGGTCGGATTTGTAATTTTACTTTGTAATTTTACTTAATGCTACTGTATTAAGTGTCCATTCTTGACCCGAAACTCGGCTAATTCGATTCATATTCGACAAGCGCTAGTCTAGCCGAATGAACCGGGTTTCACGGAATCGCACATCTGCATGTTTTAAGTAATTTGCAAGAACATGTTTCTCAGTACGATGCATCTGTTCAATGCCCCTTTGAAGAATTGTGTTGTTCTGTTTACAATAAAGTATAAATTTATGGCTTTATTGAAACAGTTTTCGTTTCACCGCGACCTTCACCAGACCGTTGCTTTAACTTACTGTAACATATCTTGTTACGTGTCAAGGAAAGAACATAATAATATATACATCTGGAAAAAGCTAAACACCGCTAACTACATATTTCCACTTAAATATCAACTTTTTAAAATAGTATCCCTTTCGAATTTTATGACACTCATAAGTTTTTGAAATACGAAAACAGAAATCGATTATCTAATGATATTTTTTGTGTCTGTTCTATGGCAAGAATACTTGAGTGCGCTTTCATTTCTTCCTCTGCCTATATCACGTGACCTGAACCAGTAATTGTGTCCATCAAGAGTAACAAATTTTCCTTTACCACCTTTTCATCAGGCATTGGTGGTATCTTGAGATATTTATAAAAAATTAAATTTAAGAAATATCACAAAGAAGTTCAGGATATATGAAAAAAACAGAGAGGGGCTTCATTTATATCCAGTTGTAAATATTCACCACGGAGGCGGTCCAATCTCTTAACAACTCAGACAAAGAAATACTTTATGTTAAGAACAAGTTTCAATTTAAACGCCGGTCATATAGCCTACCTGAGCCATTCATAATAAAACCTGCATTGTCAGAATTTTGTTTTATATAAGAGTCACTGAACCGTAAAAAGAAAAACCTTTAAATCTTCAGCGCATTATATCACATTTTAAAATGATATGAAACAGTTTGTTGTTTAACACATCACTCTGCAAAATTCCAGCTATATGACGGCGGTTGTACAGAATTGAGTCTGGACCTGACAACCCGGTGATCAACATTGTGAGCAACGGTCCACACTGTCGGGGTACGAGAACACGCTGACAACCAAGTCACCGAGTCTGACCACCCGATACATTCGGTCGCCTCTTACGAGCAGCAAAGGTTATAGAGGACCTATTCCAACCCGTAATCAAAACGGGGCCTCCAACAATAAGCTGACACGTTGTGAACAAATTAAACATACCTTTCAAAGCATTGTCTTTACGTTATACATGAAACAGTGACAGAAATACTGGAAAATTTTCGTTTTGGGGGATCAGAAGTGAGTGTGTGAGTTTACTACTGCTTTAAACAGTATTTCAGTTCTATCACGGCATGTCAGCTTAATGTGGAAGGAAAGGGTGGCGTCTCTCTCTGGCCCGCAATTATTCACAGCGAATTGCGGCGCCTTAAACGAAAGGGTCAATCCTGCTCCGAGTTAGTCAAATGAATACTGCTTACCTTCACAAATAACCGTGTTTATCGCACGTCACATTCACTACCTAAATAAGCTATAGAAATTGTTGCCAAGAGCTGTCAGCGCCTTTCTAAATGGAGCCGTCTTGTGTCAGCACTGACTTATTGAAATTATTGCAGTGTTCTATAGACTCACGGGATATGCTTGAAAGTACTTATGTCACACTCAAATAGATATGACATCCTTGTTGTTTATTTCAATGCACGCCCGGCGTCAGAAACTCGACCCCCCCAAGGTCGAATAATAAGCTGGGAGGGGGTCTGTGTGATCTTATTTACAATAGACTTGTTTGTTGCATATAAACTGTAACGTGGACGTGAGAATCTTTCAACATAAAAAGATTGAAAAGTGAGGACGTGTGTGAGTTGTCATTTAGCAATATCCCTGAATATCAATGGCTTAACAAAGTGTGCCCATGTTGGGAATCGAAACCCGGCGAATCCGACATGACTCCACCGCCCACTACGATGAGCCTTTGATCAAAGTGATCTGTATGGAGACGACCAACTAGCCAAAAAATGTCTCTTTTCTTTTCTTTTCGGTTTTCCAGAAGATGCAAAAAAAGTGTTCGTTATTGAACATATTTTCTCTATTTCTTCTGACATATATGAATTGGTATCAGAGCAAAATAAAACCTCGTCCTCGGTTATGCTTGGTATTAAAAACCTTGAAGAGAGTCCCGGGAGCATCACCTCCAGCTTCTCCCTCGTGTCTTACTTTCTCTCGATTTTTACAATCCCTGGTATAACCTCGGAGTCGTGTTTAATCCTCCACAGTATCTCCCACTAAAGCATTACTTGTTGTTCGTAGTGCCTTTAATGCTGTAAGTTTCAACTTGGCTAGTACTTACAGGTTGCCTTTTTCGGAGAATGAAGTTCTTCTTGAACAACAAAAATAGCTGTTGAAAAACCCCCATTCCAGCTGCCTCGCTGGGGGTTCCGGTAGCGGTCAAGGACGATCAGTTAGTTGGTTCTGAAACAGATGCTATTCAGGTCAATATCGAAAAATCCAGACATTTCTGCAGTTTCCCACATGATATGTATCACAGAGTCTTATTGAGATAATATACGAGCACCCCGTGGCGTGTTGGTGTCCGGTGAGAGAATTGGATTAAACTCCACTGTGTATTTCAGCTAAATCGGTATTGTGACACAGGTCTCGGTCGTAACCATTTTGAGGGAAACTCGCGAGAAGGGGCGGTGTTGAAAGACAAAGGTTCATCAGGGAGAAATTAGGATTCGATCAGCGGACATATCGACGGGGAGGGAATGAAACTTTGCACAGCGAGATGGGGACCTCCAACATGGCAAGCGTTTATAGGCCAGCAACTGTGGCAAGCGTTGGTGGACCCGCATGCCGAATATTTGCTTTCCTCCTCGCAAAATACGTCCGTGGTACCGGTACCAGTGTGGGGTGGGTGATTTTTATACAATCTATGTCCGGGTACTAGTATATAACAAGTTTTACTAGCATATCAGTCAGGCTATTAGTAAATGCGGAAACCGTTTGGTCCACGAGCAGATGTTCTTCCTTGCTTTGTTAAAGCATTAAGGCACCGCGTTTAATAATAAATAATTGTTAATCAATACGAGGAACAAAATAACGATAACTTGAATGCTTTGCACAAAAAATAGCGCAGGAACACATTTGCATCAGTGAACTCAAATAAGCTTATGTTTTATTACTCTAAATGTTCTCTGAATTTTTATTTTTTTTAATATTTCACAAGCCCCATGTGGATATATTGCCCTGTCGACAATTCCGTTAATGCATTATATAATCTCCGTGTGCCGTTGCTCAAGAGCATTTTCTGTTGCCATGGCATTAGTAAGACATTTTCTGACTTATATACTCAACGCAAGTGAGAAGATAATGCAGCGTCAAAAGATATTTTATTGTGCAGTTTTTTTCCAATACAATCGCTGTGGTACTCACACATTTAAAATATTTGAGCCTTCGGGTCCGACACCTTGAGATAAATGTGGTTCAACGTCACGTTCAAGTGTATTGCACTTATATAACAACGTGCATGCGTGTGTGTGTGCGTGTGTGTGTGTGTATGTGTGTGTGTGTGTGTGTGTGTGTGTGTGTGTGTGTGTGTGTGTGTGTGTGTGTGTGTGTGTGTGTGTGTGTGTGTGTGTGTGTGCTAGTACTAGTCCTGACTAATGCTAGCACTAAGGTACCATGCCACATTTAAAATATTTGAGCCTTCGGGTCTGACACCTTGAGATAAATGTGGTTTAACGGCGCGTTCAAGATTATTGCACTTATATAACAACGTGCATGCACGTGTGTGTGTGTGTGTGTGTGTGTGTGTGTGTGTGTGTGTGTGTGTGTCTGTGTCTGTGTTTGTGTCTGTGTGTGTGCTTGTACTAGTCCGGACTAATGCTACCACTAAGGTACGATGCCGCCAGGCATTCAACAAGGACTCGGAGTCGGTATACTGTGTCTGAGTGGGGTATTCATGTTAAACTGCGGTAAACTTAGTGCCGAACGCCAGGCAGGGTAACAACAAGTACCATCTTTAACGTCTTGTGGTATGACGCGCCCGAGGATCCAACCCCCGACTACCCGCTCTCCCGGCAGACGATCTACCCCTCGACCACGGAGGCGGTCAATATGAAGCCATACGGCCTATAGTACACCGTGTATACAGTTCATACTTTACAGGGAAGAGCAAAACAATCTGTACAGTGTATAGTTGGAAGATTTAATTCACATGGACATAAATTATTATCAATATTGGAACAGTGATTTATATATATTGGTACTTTGGATAGTGCTGTAGGGGGCGCGGGTGGCCCAGTCGTCTAAGGCGCCGCAATTCGCTGTGCAGAGTTGCGTCCCTTGACTGTGGGTTCGAATCCCGGCTCGCCCCGATTATTCTTCTAGGTTTGTCAGCACCATACCCGTGCTCGTGGGTTTCACCGAAGTAGTAAACGTCTAAGAACTGCATCACTTGGGGCTTTCCTCCAAAATTAAGCTGTTAAAAGCTGTTAAAAGCGGCGTTAAATACAACTCACTCACTATTTCTGTAAATATAAGTGAAAATATGGGACAAAGGAATGGCTAATTTACACAAGGTGTTCTGTCCAGCTCGTAATTATTCATTTCCTATTGTTATTGTATGACGACTGTGACTCGAAACAATTACTGAGCATGTGACGTGTCCTTCACAATCTGTAACCATTGTCAACACACAGCTGATATGTTTGTAACTTTATTTACGCAGTTAACAAAGTTTATGTAAACAGACTATGAATACAGCTCTGAATACATCAAGTATATTGGACTTCTACTGTCATATGTAACTAATCTTCACCATGTTTTTATTTCGCGAGTTATTCAGGTGGAAGAGTGATAGTTGGTCAGTAACTGTCTTTAGTTACATGGCATGTAAATAGTCGATCTTGTTTACATACATATGTATATATGTTGTTTGTTTGTTCCTTGTTTAACGCCGCACTCAGCAGTATTCAAGCTATATGATGGCGGTCTGTAAATAATCAAATCTGAACCAGACAATCCAGTGATTGACATCATGAGCATCGATCCACGCAATCAACGAAATCAGCGAGTCTGACCACCCGATCCCGTTAGCATAGTCGCCTTTTACGGCAAGCGTGTACAGGTATATGACAAAAGATGCCCTTAATTACCATTGTTTCTCCGGATGCGCCAACCGTAAAGCTTGCAAAAAGGGAAATATATACGTTTATAATTTGAGCCCCGTGAAGATTCGGGTTAGAATATGTACTTTAGCAATACTTGCCTTAAGAGGCGACTAAGCTTGTCGTAAGAGGCGACTAACCGGATCGCTGATTTGGTTGATGCATGTCATCGTATCCCAGTTGAGTAAATCGCCGTCACAGAGCTGGAATATTGCTTAGTCATAATTTGATTTTGATCGAAGGCATGGTAGATGCAACATCAACATTACGAAGTTTTGTTTTTGTGTCCAACAGGTGTGGTTGGGGTAAAAACAACCTTACACTTCAGCAAGAAATATTTGAAAATGTATCCTACTCCTGATATATACCATGAATATTAAGTACCACAACAAGCCCCAGTCAAACTTGAGCCCTTTTTGATTGACTCTTGCTTGACAATGTTATAAGGATCTGTACCGAGCCGTGACATCAGAATAGAATAAAGAAGTTGTCATCCATAAAAATACTTTGTTACTCCTGTTTGTTTCATATTGTCAGGTGCCCCCCCCCCCCCCCCCGTAGTAACTCAGTGTAGACAGATATTTTAATAACAAGGTGTTTGGAGGATTGTTTTTCGCAACTCAATATCCACTGTCGGATTGTGTGACACTTACCTTGCAAGGATAAACCTATATGAAAATGTATGTCTCGTTAGAACAATGATTCGTCGAATTAGCTTCACTGTATCCTCGCAAACCTCCCTGCGGTACACCCCACACAGAGACCAGGGAAACACGGTGACATATAATCCTGTATTCCTTCACGTTAACATTGTGGAATATAGTCAGGCGTCATTCCGACAGCTGTCTGGTGTGCACGGCTTGTGTTCAGATGCCTCGCCTCTCCCGACTATGTTGCGCAATGTGAATCACGTGGCTATTTCAACATCCCGTACTACAACGCTCAGTACACAATATACATATACAAACGTATAGTTACATTTAATCTCTCTCTCTCTCTCTCTCTCTCTCTCTCTCTCTCTCTCTCTCTCTCTCTCTCTCACTCTTTCTTTCTCTCTTTCTTTCTCTCTCTCTCTCTCATTCTCTCTCTCTCTCTCTCTCTCTCCTACTGAAGCCATATTGTTTGACTTTTCCTAGAACATGGTCGTCTCGTAACGTTTTGTTTGTTTGTTTGTTGTTTAACGCCGCACTCAGCAACATTTCTGCTATATTGGCTGCAACCACATTGACAGTGTTATATCTTATGACATGTAATACCTCTGTGTCCATGAGCTATGTGATCTCTTAAGTCGTATCCATGGAGGGATAAGTAACCGGACGAACACGGCAGCCATTTTGAAAATATAATTGTTGCACATTACTCTGCCATTTCTGATTGCATCGTTATAGGACAGTAAGTAGTATTTGTTGTAATATGTTGGCTATACATTTCTCTGATGTGAAGAGGCAAAATAATTCTCAAAATACATGTTCATCGAAAGAAATTGCTTGATGTATTCTATTGTGGACATGTTTACGTACTGTGCCATTCAACTGACACTCAATGTTGACACACACGAGTAAACGGTGGTTCAAATATTGGAGTTATGACGCCTTGATATCAAAACGTGTTACGACAAATCACGGTGGCACAGCAGTAAGGGTTCAATGCTTTGGATTTACGGTTGCTAATGTTATGAAAGTTAGGACTCTTTTTCTAAATCATTCTTGTCCCATGCGGTTTACGGGGTAGCAATGGTCTGAAGTAACTCATCCGTGTCCTACGTTGGGTGTGAGTGGGTAATGCATTCCGCTGTTTTTAGAAATAGTTCAGCCATGATGGTGGTAGTGGGGAGTGGCCTATTGACTTAAGACTGGAAATAAACCGTGACGGATCAACGCTTGTCCGACATAGGGATCCCGGCGAGCGAATATATCCCCAGTACCCTATACTTGTTACTGGAGCCTACTAATGGTAGGATTGGATAGTTACAATGTATGACCTGGCTGATCTGTTACTTGGTGTGGATCGCTTTTCGTTTTTGCAGCTACTGGTTTGACTGGTCAAGACAATTATTATTTTCAAATACCTGGACTATATCCGCCTGAGACGTGTGGCAAGAATTCACTTACACAAGTCCAGTCAAATGTGGAAATACTGCATGCTGTTAGTACCGAAGTACTGAAGCTCACCGTATAAAGAGGATACTTTGAGATAACATTTGTGTTCAAAATATCCTGACACGATTAAACTTGTTTACAAACTTATCATTCAGTTTAACTTATCTATGATAGCAATATCAATACAATATTGGACCAGAGACCATATAATCCATTATATGGTCTCTGATTGGACAACTACCTTGACAATACGAAATCATTAGATTAAGCCATAAGGTTCAATATCGACAATATTCTTCTCAAAAAGGTGAATCAGCTGAAATTCCATCATTATAAATTGCTATTCTTTACGAACGTAAGGCTGAATCTATAACTGAAAACAGTGGCATGAAGTAGAAGGGGTACAAGGGTGGAAATGGTCTCAACGCACGCACGCACGAAAGTTCACACGCACATACAAACAGAATGTTATTAAAAATTGACAAAAGCGTCAAACCCTTTCCATAATCATATAAGAAATCTCTGCAGGTAGCGATGATACCTGGTGGTCGCGAAAAGTTGAGGTTACCCTGCCTCATCGGTGACACGCGTCACAAACACATGCAAAGGCAAGTCAAATATTAACCTTAACAAACACGGAACATATGGTACAAGTCAAAATAGGAAATCAGACATTATTTTGGTCACTGATGCGACACATTTGGAAATGTCTTCCACATGTATTCCCTGAAACATTTCGGAATCTGTACTAAGGTCTTGAATACCTGGAAACCTGATCAGCCCTGACCCTCTTTGAAATCTTCCCAGAAAAAAAAAAACATGATCGTCTGTACCTCAAACGTTGTGAAATGTAGAGACCAAAGGCTGAAACTACTGGAATATTGCTCAACATAAAGGGAAAGTTGAAGTCATTCCTCTTGCCATACAGTCTTTTTGGAGAGTTTTTGTCACTCTGAATCTTCATGCATAGATCTAAATATGAAACAGATGGTCTCACTGGCCTCTTATGTTTTGTTCGGGTAGGTAAATCAGTGAAACGGAATTAGCTAATTGACCATAACTGAACGATATCAGATGACATATAAATTAATCCTCTTGCCCAAATATAACTATCAACAGATATAAATGTAATCGTTATTTATACCACATTTGTATAATTGTATTGCAAATATTTACCATGGCAACAACATCGTCCCCGTCCACCAGTATCAGCAGTTGCTACCGTTTTAACCTTTTCTTGTACATCATCAACTTGTACTCAGAACACCTAAACACACACAACATCCCCATAACCTAAACATGTTTAAACATGTTAAGAGTTGAACATTTTTTACGACAAAATGTATACCATTAAGTATTATCATAATAAAGTTTTAATAATCCAGCTTTTAAAAGTGGTGTGATCATAAATGTTTTGATGCTGTATGGCTGGCAATATTTCTCCCATACAGTAAACGGAAACTGACAATGAAAAGTATATCTGATTACCGCAATAGACCCGCGACTTTTCAAAACTCACCTACAATGAATTTCAAGGGAGGCATACAAGTCTTTCAGGACTACATTTAGCCTCTATCACGCTGAGCTGTTAAACACAATCCTAAACATGTCAAAATTATGGGACAAGGAACGTTTTTAGCTTTGTGTTTAGGATTTAAATACCTTTTTACAGTGTATAATTCTGACCTAAATTCAGCATTTGTTCAAGAGTGCACTGCCCTACAGTGTGATGTCAATGTACGAAACCCTGTTAAATAAACGTAATTGGTACACGTTCAGGGCATTAAGCAAACATCACAATTTAAAAATAGCACGTATCTATCTAGGCGAAAACAATGACAGATGGAGTAGGATTCCACAATCATTCATGTTATGTCGTTACAGAAAACATATTTTTTTTAAATAATTCAATGTAAACTTAGATGAGCAAAGATTTGAACAAGTCGTTTAGCGAGTGAGTTGGTTTTAACCACGCAAAACAAAATCTGTGGATATTACGACATGACACCAGGCAAGGGAATCTAACCTAACACTGTTGTACATCACTAGAACAAGCCGGCAGCTGAATCATGAAATGTGGTATGCGATCAAAAGTAGATTAATAAGAAAATATATATAATTCATTTACATACGTTTTCATGATATTACTCATAAGGATATGGCCTTTGGCCAGTGATATCAATCACAGGATACACACCGTCCATATCATCTCCACCCGGACCAATACATGTTCAAGTTCTTGACGTCATCAATATACCATTACACATGCCAGGATTATTTTCATGGTGGTACTACTGCTGTATTTGCATTAGAATCAATGCCTTCAAAGAAGTTGTTCCTCTTAAGCTTTTGCAGTGTATATATTTTTCGAAGGCGAAGAACTGTTTGAAAAATTATCGCAATATAACGGATTACAAGATACGATATTTTTCTTATACTTTTCTCAGGCACATGTGTCATTAGTATTTGATAGTGATTCTTAAACAGATGCTTATAATATAACATTCGGAACTGCTGTTAGCAGAGATTTCTCAGGGTTAAGGATTTATAGTTAACGCCGATATAACAAGGACCAGATACTGTAACAATATGTGTAGATCCTAGACACAAACCTAAACACGTTCCTTGTGTTTAGGGTTGTGTTTAACAGCTAAACGTGTTTATTGTCTAAATGTGGGACAGACCCGTATACGCCTCCTGCTTGACATGAATTGCATTTCCTGTGTAGTCGTGTTTTCACATTGATACAACAACATGATAGGTATTCGCTAACAACGATTTACCATTGTTACTAAAATAATACAGAAATACATTTTTTTATATTTCCTTATAAAAAAATGTTAAGTCGTACAAATTATGTTTTGGTTTACAAACTGACATACGCGTATTTACATAAGGAAACAGAAATTGTTTATGTAATTACTGATTTGTAAGTGTTCCATGCAAATAGTTATTTGACAACCCGTTCTAGTGTTTCCTCTGCTTCTATGTGTCCCTATTGCATACTTTTACATAGGTATTTATGTATCGTAGATATTTAACTAAGGGAGGTCAATGTCATATGCAGATATGTCCAAAAAGAGCGAGCGAGTGAGTTGGGTTTAACGACACTGTATTCCAGTTACATCACGTCTTTTCAGGTCAATGTGGGAGGAAAGCCGAATTGATGTTTACTGCTTTGGAACACTGTTGAAATATAAACAATGCCGATGTATTTGAACAGGCTTACTTCACGTGTCTACCAGATCGAGGAGTGAAGGAAATGTAAATATAACACGATTATTTATGTAGGCATTAAGTTGACCATCCTATTAGAATGACCATCAAGGTTAGCATACTGTAGGTGACGACTTCAACGGCTCTGGGTAAGAATTTTGTTTTCACAATAGTGGTTACCATGCCGAAGTTGACAGATGATCGTGACCATTTTAAACACATGGAAATACTTATATTGTTCTTCTTATGTTTCAGTTTTGTGATACATGCTGTACACCGGGAACTGTTATCTTTCAACATAATTTGATTAGTGTGTTGAGGAGATGATGAACATGATGTTCAGTATCGGTGGATGTTGGCCACGACATGAGCGCAAATAGTCCTGGGAGTCAGATCAGAGTCAGGTCAGAGTCAGGTCAGAGTCAGGTCAGAGTCAGATCAGAGTCAGGTCAGAGTCAGATCAGAGTCAGGTCAGAGTCAGGTCAGAGTCAGATCAGAGTCAGGTCAGAGTCAGATCAGAGTCAAGTCAGGTCAGAGTCAGATCAGAGTCAGGTCAGAGTCAGATCAGAGTCAGATCAGAGTCA